GCTAGCACAAAGATAACATGTTGTGAGTGTGATGCCCACCAATGTGTGTTATGTATTTTGTTTTCATCCACAGCCAATATGTTTTAAAGTGAGCACACTTGTTTATTCCAGCAATAGTTGTTGGCAATATAACTATTGTTCTTCTAATCTTTATTCTTCAACTATTTCGTCCGTACGTATTTTGACACTCTTCTTCTTCCACATTTAGTTCACCACAGCAACCAGTTACACACACACAAGTGTATTTCTCTGTCTGTCTCTCTACACACACACACACACACACACACACACACACACCTTGGAGGCATTGTTAGACCTCCTGTCTGTCTGTCTTTATGCCTGTCAATTCAATTCAATTCAAATTCAAATTTTGCATTATTGGCATGAACGTTTACAAACGGTATTGCCAAAGCATCAGAAAATTAAACATACAATAACATCAATACATGATAATATCAATACACAATAACAATACACAATTATATTAATATTAATAATATAATCTCTCTCTCTCTGTCTCTCTCTCAAATTCAAACAAATATTACAAATATGGAGAATAAAGTTTCCTCTATTTAAAGAGAGCAGACAATTCTTAATTCTCATAATTAGTACCAAAGTGCACCCAAGTAACAAACCAAAACATGACTAAGTTATTCCTGTTTATTGAACAGTCCAGCTATCCTCACCGCATTTGGCTTCTCGAGGATAGTCATAAAACTGTCTTTGTATCGGCATTATTCATGCAGGTAATAACAATGCCAACTCAGAATAAAACTATCCGCTGCTGTGAAGTTGAAGCGGTTTTTTTTTTTTGCGAAGTTCAACTTCAAGCAGATCATTTTATGTTATCTTGGCAAGGAGATTTTTCTGTTGTTGCCAGAAATCTGTAGCCAGCTCCTCTTGGAGAAAAGACAGCATGGTGCCAGCAGTGGAACGACTGCCTGAGACTGTTGCGTCTCATTATGGCCATCCAGAAATCTTAGCAGCGTTCCTCATCAGTCGGTATAACCATCAGTGATAATCGGCGCTCCATGGTGTTCTGCACTGCTCCTGGCTTTGCTGTCAGAGTCTGAATAACAGCTACCATTCAGAAGGGGCTGTTAGTCGTTACACTGATAATATAACAATACATATTGTGAGAGATTGCACACATACTATATTATTATTTTTCTAAACAAAAACACACACACACACACACACACCCATTGCCTCAGGTGGTAATCAGGAAGTTACACTGTGCACAAATTAGGAAATAAACACTTTATTGTGTTACAAACAGTAAAAAGATAAAATATGTACATTCATAAAGCCATGAAATTATTATAGTATTTAGAAACAAAATGAACGAAGTGGGAAAGGATTCAAAATCCTATTTGGAAATAGCTACAAAGAAAAGACAACTGCAACTTGAAGCCAACGTTTAAGCCCTTGTTGCCTCTCAGAGAGCAGAGGGCACTATGTCCATTCTGTCTCAGTAGGTTTCTGTTTTTCTGTTTCAAGGCTCTGGAGCAGTGGGAGTATATCAGAAAGACATGTGCACAAAGACAAACTGAAAAAAATAAATAATAATACATCTAAAAAGAATATATGTCACTAAATGATTATCTTAGTGGAAGACATGATCAAAATAAATAAAGGATTACATTCATTAAAACAGACTTAATGTAACAATTCAAAACTAATCAAGAAGGCTTAAAATGTAAACACTCTTAGGAAAAAAATGTAAAATAAAAGGTGGAACCTTCTTTTAGCTGTAATAAAAATAAAAATAAATCACATAAAAATGAAGTTTTTCTCTCTCTCGTATTCTTTAAGTCTTTAATTCTTTGAAGTCTTCTCCAACACCCAGTCAATGACCTAGAACAAGAAAACATTTAGGTTTAGAAGGACTACAAAGCCAAGCTGAGAACCATTGGTGTCTGGTGGTGTTACCTGTTTGACGTTGCTGCTGGCTGCCTTCTTCATCTCCTCATGCAGACCACGAGATGTCTTCAGATCCTGGGATCAAACAACAGCAGAGGAGATCACTCTGACTGACAGAGTACGGTAAACTCAAGTGAGCTTTACATCATACACATCAGATATTTTAGGCCAAAGTTGAACACATTTGAAGTGGGGAGAGGATATTGGTAGAACAGAGTCGAGAAAAAAAGCAAAGTGTAACATGTACTCAAATATCTATAAAATATTCTTGAGCATTTTCAGCTACTTTATCCTGCAATACATTTCAGAGGGAAATGAATACATACAAACGTCACAGTGAGTTGTATTAGATTAAACTACATATTTGTCCATAATCAAAATCAAACACTTGAAACAGGCCAGTGATGCGTCACAGGAATAAATGATATGCAGACAAAAGAAGTCAACTGTCCATCAAGTAATGTGTGTTTTTCTTCAGTGTGGTATCCATTGTCCTATAAACCTGAGGTGCCTGCAGTGATACCAAATACTTACAGAAAGAAAAATAGCAATGAAAAATACTATCTCCACAAAAACAAACATCTAGGATAAATCAAACACTCAAAAGAAATGAAATATATAGCTTCGACACTACCCAACAGTATATGAAGTAGATTGAAGTAGCTTTCTTCCAGCACTGTTGGCAACAGTTTTTCCTCAGTGTTTATATTCTATCAAACAAAAACACCTAATCACAATTTACAAGGAGCCACAAAAGAAAATAGATGGAAATGTGTGTTTTGGGCAAAAATATCAGAAATGGATGTCTTCAAACTGTTCCTATTATTGTTCTAATTTGTTGCGAGGATCTCTAACAAAACACAACATATGGTCAAAAGTTCAGTACAAGTCCTGGATACAAAGCATACAAATAAAGAAACTGTCAAAGGGAGGACGGCGCTGACTGCGTGTGGGCAGTAAACAGACCAACCTTGAGATAGAATTTCGAGATATCAAACAGTCTTTTGCCGCAGGCCTCAAAGCACTCATGCTCGGCAGTGATCCCGTGGTGTTTGAGCGCTTTAGCCACTACCTCCTGCAGCATCTGAGGACACAAAAGACAAACACGCTCACAGTTCTATATTGGCATTACTGTGAAAACATCTACTACTTGTGTTTATTCACTAACCACCTGACGCTAATCCGGTTCAGAGAAGCTAATTTTAGCACAGCTCCCTTTTTTTTTTAAAAAAAAAAAGGAAGGGATGTCAAAATCTCTCGACTTTGGGGGCCGTCCTTGCCTCAGACTTGCGCGCATTTACATTCAGTGTGAGCTTGCAGGTACAAAACATACAAATATTGTACTGGTAGCTTCGCCACAGGAAAAAAACAGTCCTGAAATAAATAGATCTGCCTTTAATCTTGTCACAGCGACTGTTCAGAGGAAACATGATAAATGATTGTGAGGAATCATCTGTGCCATTCAGTCTCATGAGGCGAAAGGCAGCTTTTAATCTACGTCCTGAATAAACTGCGATCATTATTTCCGAGTAGGGCCAACTGTCCTTTCCTATACTTGGGTTTGGATGATAAGCCTGTTTGAATAGTAATCACAAATCAGAACAAGCCAAGGTTGCGATGCAGATTGTGAGCTGTACGTGTGTGTGTGTGCAGTGTGCACTATGTCACGTCGCCACGTACATGTTTCTGTCATTGCACACTGTACCCTAAAAATACATAAAAGATGGGAGAGAAAAGTGTGTGTGTGTCTATGGAGGCAGGCAGCAGGTGACATGATAATGGTATAGTAGTTGTAAAGTGATTTTTCTGCGACATTATAACGCAGCCCACACATTCACAGTGATCGTATGCAAAACACAAAATGTTACTCTTTCCTGGAGCTTTTGCACAACTCTCATCTGTAGTAGAAAGACAGTAAGTGTGTTGTGTGTGTGTGTGTGTGTGTAAAGTTTAGATAGATACTTTATTAATCCCGCAAGGGGAAATTCTTTCACTACAGCAGCTTTTATAGATAGTGGTGAGTGAGGGAATTACACATTCAGTTGTTAGTAGAAACAGTACAATACAGCCTTTTTAAAATGTGTTGTTAAATAGGTGAATATCACAGGAAAACTCTGGTTTATTATCACCTTTACTAACCAAAGTAACTAGAATCTTAGACTTAGATCTTGTGCGAGTGTGGCAACATCACTAAAAATGTGTCCGTCGTTGTCATAGAAGTAGAAGTGTGGCAGTATAGCAGCAGCTTTATATTGTTGTTTTCAGGTGGCACCATGAACACAACACAGTGCTCCCGTCTTCATTTGTAGTTGTATTTTGTTAGTCACGACAAGGGTTTGCCTTTTTTACCCGTCACACAGAGGCAGAGTGACCACAGCAGGCCACAAATGCAGGCTCTGTATTTGTTTAGCTCCAGATACCGAGGCAATGCTAACATTTGCTTGTCGACCTGCTGGAGTGCTGATAGTTTAAGGATGCCGAAAGGTAAAAGCTCAGTGTGAGAGAGACATGACTGACAAAGAGGAGACTAGCAGCCTTAAGAACACGGAATTCACATTCTTCCTCACGTTGTTCACGCTATTTATAGTGTATGTGTTGTGAAGTCCAACAAATTTGCAATAAATTGTTAACTTTTCAGTTTGTCTGGTATGCAATCCAAGGCAAACTTTAACTTTAACCATGTTTACTGTGAATCACAAACTAGTTGGTATGAGAGAAATGCAGTGTTATGCCGTCGTGGTCAATGTCCGCTACCAAAGTGCCTCCGAACAAGAAACTTCAACCACCTTACATGAAGGGAAAACGTATTTGTAGTTCATGTATGAACCAAAAATCCACAGTGAGTGCTCTCCATGCTTCCTGCTAGAAATACACAAACAAGTGAGGTTGACACGCTTTGATGAGTCAAAGTTAACAGGTATATCTAGATTATTTCTATAGCATGAATATGTTGACTTTTAAAATAACACACACACACACGCACACGCACACACACACACCCTGTTGTGTTTCTGGGAGCGTGACTCTTTGGAAGGTTTGTCCTCTGCTTTTTCGTAATGGCTCTTCAGCTCCTGAGGTTTAGGTTTGTCAGCAGGGGGAAGAGTCACCAAACCTGGGTAGTAATGTCAGGAAAATGAACAACAAGGCATTTCAAATCCTCAGCATATGTCTGAGTAGAACAAGACTTAATCCTGATCATAATAATATCAATATAAATATGTTTATATCATTTAGTCAAACTGAAACATGTGTTTAGGCTCTCCTGTAAACAGTCACTACACTCAGACACCAGACATCTCTTTATTATTTTAGGAGGTCTTCCAAAGTTTTCACCTAAAAATTTTGAGGGGCTTGAAGTAAGTTTGAATTGGTTAAAACATGTTAATAAAGTTTGTTCTATACAAACAGGATCTCTTTCTGATAAGTGTGTTGTTCCACAACGATATGATATACAGAGGACATGCATTTCATTTTGCAAATCTACAAATTTGCAAATAATACATGCTAATAATAATTGCTTTATTGGTAGCATTTTGATGTCATAATCACATTTAAAAGATATTTTAGGCTTTCAAAGTTATTCAATAAAGAATTCCATAAAAAAAGAGTAAATTACTACATATGATGTATTGATGTTATAAGTATGTATCCTGTTGTGAGAAGAGATGATGGATACAGTTTGGAATTGCTGCTCTTTGTATAATTTGATATCCTCATACTGGTTGCATGTCTAGGATGTCACTAAACAATTAAGCTGATGAATTTTACTTAACATTTAAAGTAATGGTGTGCAGATTTTCTCACGCATATTTGCCAGTTTTGAAGCACCTATATACTAAACTACAACAGATTGAGAGTGTTGTTCATTATACAGTCCGATCGTTAATACCGTGCACACACCTGAGGCTGTGGACTGAGATCTGCTCGGCTGTTGACGTAGAGACCTAATGGCAGGGTGTGTCCCACTGCTGCCACTGCTCTGAGAACAGAGGGAGTCACTGCTCTCTGACTTCACCAGCCTGGAAATGGTAAATGGAATGGTAAACATTGTTGGTGCAACCCCAAGATCCATCCATCGATGTGTCCATTCATTCATACGCTTTCTTGGCGCTAACCAGGACCAACGCACATCCTCATCCTCATCCTCATCATACCTCTTGCGAGGATAACCTCCGATAATGTCTGTGTCCCTCGACCTGCGCTTGAGTCGCGCTACATCAGCGTTCTGCAGAGTCTCTCCGTCAGGCACACTTCCTGGTTCTGACATCACAGCAGGTGAGGGGGCGGGGCTGAGGGCGAACGGGAGGGCACAGGGCTCCTTGGAGCAGGTAGTTTGGGTCTCGTATCGAATCAGACGGGACTGGAGTTTTACAAAGGCCTGGTCCCGGTCCAAGGACCGCTGATTGTCCAGGCAGAACCTAAATGAACAAATACATTTTTATGAATATTAAATTAAGAAGGAACGGAGACTGATGTGGCTTGCTACTGTCTGTTGATCATAATACATTTTTCATAGCTGCCTGTACTATAAAATACCAGTTACTGTAGCTGAACAGTCGCTGCATAGCTTCTAGAAACTTACTCTATGCCATGGTAGTGGGACACTGAGGCTTTGTTGAAGGGCATCTGGCTAATTCTCCTGGGAGAAAGGTCTGGTGACAACTGAAACACGTTATTACTGGAGAGAGAGACAATGAGGGAGAAAGAGAGAGTAGGGGTGGGGGACAAAAACATAAAAAGTTTATTGAAGAAAATGTTTTTCTCTTCATTGAATCACAAATACACATTTTTTTGATTAAAACACAGTTTTTGACATAATTATTAGAACTAACTGATGATTGCTCCGCTACTTTTTTAACCCAACTCAATAATATTTGTTTGTAGCAGGCTTATGATCGTAATCAAATCCTCATTATGGCCTCATTAACTGTCATTCATAACCATGCTAAAACAACCTGAATACAGCATGTGTATTTGTAAATCTGTTATTTTATTAATAAGTCCTGTTTCATGATCATCTTTGTGTGAGCCACTCTCAGCCGGTTGTCTGCTTGTAATCCTGTCAGTCTGTGGCTGCCTCGGTCTACACGACTGTCTCTTTATGTCTTCCTGTGTGAAGGCCTATATGTGCCATGTGTGTATAAGCTTAAGCCAGAAAAGATGACTGAACCTACCCTCTATTGATAGCCAGGAGTTGTAGATCCCCAGTGGGCAGGCCATCAGATGTGAAGTGTTTTAGAAGTTCTTTGGCATCCAGTAATGCAGAGGAGCTCTTTTGACTGTCTTTAGGACCCAGCAGACTGTCACTGGAGCCCGGACCTAACAAACCAAATCTGACACACACACAAAATACACTGTAGATCATAAACAGCATATAAAGAGCACATAACTGTCATGTGTCTATTTAAATATCATTTAAGGATTCAAGGATAATGTAGTGTCATCATTATGCAACGAAGGGTTGCACAACAAAATATAACAAAACACTTGTGCATTTTTTTAATTTGCATCAGGATGAATGTAAACCACAGCAACAAAAACAATCCTCTGGGCAGATAACAAGGCCAGCCTCTTGGCAGACATTAAAAGTTCAACACCAGGGGAACAATGTCATCCACATTGACTATGTAGGGCAACAAGCATCGTTAGTGTAAACACCGAGTCCGCCTCCTCTCGTCTCCCACCGGAGTCTTGATCCAGGATGCCCCAGAGAAGCCAGGTCTATGTAAACATGTGGGCACAACAGTCTCTGATCTCCCGTTGCTGGGTTAGCCTCAAGTCTTATTTCATCCATCTTATTTTCCTGCGACCGGACATTAGCCGGGGACAGACTAGCCTTCGGTCCTGGCTGGGTTAGCTTCGGTTCCATCTCGGCCTTCTCCTCTCGAGGCAGTCAACTCAGCTTTCTGTGGCGTCCGGGCCGGCCCTGCCTGGCTGATTGTTCCGAAGATGCATTGGGTGGTGATCGTTGTCATGTATCGATGTTGATGAGTGTATCTCTGTCACATGCCATACGTGCTGTAGCAATAAAGACGAAAAGACAACAAATTAAAACAAAAATGTACCTTCTCTTCTGTCTTCTCCTCTGCAAGTTCTCTATGTTGTGGAGGACACTCCTCTCAGGCCAGTCAGATAGCAGGTGGGAAATGTTTGGAAGACCTACAACGAGGAAACATCAAGGCTCAGCTGGTCGTTCCCAATGATTCATTTGGTAAATTCCTATTCAGCAAGAGCCAACATTGCTGAATATGAGTCTCACGTGAAACATTTGTATTTGTCTGATTGAAAATGTGAGTAGTTAAATTGTCTCCCTCTTCTTCAAAACCTCAATAGGTTGATTTCCATTAAACTGCAGTCACAGGTTGTCTCCCCATTGAGAAGAGTATACCGTGCCCCGAAATCTCACACTTCAAAAGAAGCCTTCAAGTCTGAATGAAATGATGCTTACTTTTGCAGTATACTGCAAATACTGCTTGGCATTGCTCGAGCAGGTTCACTGACAAGATGACGGTTTTTCATGCACAGAAATGTCCGTAGGTTGTAAGTGTGATATATGAAGAGACTGAAGCTCTCCGCCAGTGGTTTGAAAGCCCACACAGAGTCATTCACACCTTCACGGCGCTGCAGAAATGCAAATGCAAAAAGACATTCCTAATGGACTGCAGAAGCAGCAAATTATATTCTCCAGAGCAGAGGGTGGGCAAGGATTATAGAAAAAAAAATAGCTGATGTGCAACTTAGAAAGTGTGTCTCTACGTGTTTACATCCATCATTACTTCTCTTAGTAGAAGCTTACTGGCTTTACCAAATGGAGAGCTAAATATAGGTAAATGGTACAGAATGTGAAATCTTGAGGACACGCACAAAGACAAGGCCGTTATGTGGACTGTTTGAGAGAATTAGACGAGTTACAATACAAATACACAAGCTGAGGCAAATCTAGTCACATAGGTCGATGCACAACACTCACAAGAAAAGAGTTTGTATCTAGTTCCGCTTGTTAACTTACCACTCCATAAAGGTAACACAACCAAAGAAGATCATTTGTTTAAATGCTCTGACAGCATGCTAGCAATGAGGATAACCATCCTGGAATAATAGGAGAACACTACCGAGACAGAATAGGGACGTTGTTCCAGGTCTTCACATTCTGCCTACACAATAACAACTTAAAAAAAGAAAGTGTTATTTCAGGGGTATAAACAGAGCATTTCCCAGGATGGTGTGGGAGGAGGTGGTCTGTGAGCGGTAGGAGTTTCATTGCGTCTACTGCAGCTCTGGATGGATCCATACCCGAGTTGTTGGCGGCTGTGCTCTCCTCCTCGTCTGTCAGACAGTTGGCAGCAGAGGGCAGAGTGGAGTCAGTCATCTTCAGATACTGCTCCCTGGCCAGACTCAGAATGACCTTCAGGTCATTGATGGGTATTGAGGTTGAAGCGGACGCTTCTTCTTTTTGTCCTAGACACACAAACAGACACTGGGTTTAATCTTGGCAACATTTAAAATGTAGGTTTTTGACTTTTTTTGGTTTCTCGCTGCACTAAACTTTTGAATTTCACTCCTACTCAACACCAGACTAGTTTTTTCCCTCGACTACACCAAACTCCAAAGATCTATGTGATGAAACAGGGAGACTCTCTTGCTTTAATTAGGGGAGGCAAGTCTCCTCTCTGATGTAGCCCCAATAAATGTACGTCTATCTATGTAACTGTCAAATTGCATCGTTTTGTACATTTTACTTCAGTTGTAAAAATCATTAGTAATTATTCTTCGTCTTGAGTGCCTGATATCCAACAGAATTGTCGTAATCGGTGGAGTGGGCGGATTCAAAAGGTCTGGACCCAGGCAACTATTTCTTGTCAACAAAAGCTGCAGAGTGCCACGGGTGTGAAGGGTCACATTAAAAAAAGGTTCACGCTACATTATAAACGGTTAAGAGTTAAATAAGCAGTGAAATTGAAAGACAAAGTCCTTCGCACGCACCAGCATCAGCTTGAATACTCCTCACATGCAGAGACAGACTGATTACAGCCTATGAGACAAACGACAGACCCATGATGGTGCACACACACATTTCACATAATCAAAAAAACTTCCAGTGAACTTCAGTACCATACTTCTAACTTTTGACCCACCTTTTCCCAATTTAATGCCAAGTCAGTATACATTGCAATGAATTTCATTAAGGTCTCTGGTCTCTCAGGGCTCTTCATTCCGCTCACGGCCTTTTCAAAGAACAGCCCTATTGCTTTTCCTGAAGTTGAAGAATTTCACTCCACTTCATTTAATCTGGCTCCACTCTACTGGTGTTTCGCTATCTTCTCCTGCCAAGGGGACATAATGTGTGTCTGTAAAATAATGATATTTCAACAGAGCGTTTCTGTGCACCAGCCTGTGCTGAGGTGGTGAGAGCTCCAACTGAAAACAGTTCAGGAAGCTCCGATGTGCCCCGACAGTTGATGCACACACTCTGAAGACTGCCACTGCAATTTTGTAATTTGTTATGCGAGCAACATTACAAAACCCCACAATGTTCAATTTATTATGATATAAAATAGAAAGAAAGCAGCAAATCTTCACATATAAGAAGAACCAGCAAGGGTATGACTTTTTCATTTAAAAAATAACTGAAATGATTAATGAATTATTAAAATGGTTGCAAATTTGTCGTTTGTACATCGACTGAATGGTTAAGCAATTCATTCTTTCAGCTCTTATAACTTTATGGAATGAGATTAATCTGTGTTTTGAAGATTTTATAACCTGTTTTTGAAGATATGAGCCATGAAGCAAATGGTTTGATGCGTTTTTTCCATCCATGAAATGGATTTACACATCGTGTGTTGATCCCCAAACCATAAAGACATGTTGGACCAACGAGTTGTGTGTCAGGGTACGGACAGGGTTAGCGACATGAATCAGACAATCCCCATCACGCTGTAAAAATGACTGCTGAACAGTGCGCACCATCAACCAGGTGTATGTATGCGTGTCTGTCATGAAGTGTCAAACAATATTCCTGGTGAGAAGACACAACAATTATTAGACAAGTCACAACAGGTTATGTGAAGAATCTGTGCCCATAAAAATGCATGAACCTCCTCTACTGGTCTGTGAGAGGTTGCTTCCCCATCCTGCTTGGGGGCATGAACGTTTGATTGACACATCTTAGAGAACTCAAGGTGCTGCTCTGAGGGCTTTTCTTGGATATTATCATCCATTAAGCATGCAAGCATTTCAAAAAAATTGCATTGGTAGCACTAAAACACAACAAAAGTGATGATGAAATCTGTTCGACTTCAACAGTGTGCTGTATTTTCTGTCTACATAATGTTCGACTTCTACACCACCTACTTCTTATTCCCAGAATTACAGTATATTCTGGGATTCGTGTTAAAAGTAGAACTTACTGAGATATTCTTGGAATACCAGTGTCTGAACCTGGGCCACCTTCTTCTCTCTCTTCAGCAGGCCGGCTCCTTGAAGACAGGGAAGAGGGTAGAAGATGCTGCCGACAGCGCCTCCTGGTCAAATGAGAGACAAACAGTGAATGAAAAATGTGCTAAACCTCAGCCTGTACCGTGACTTTGCAGAATGTTTTGATATTTCTTGAGTGGGATCAGAAGAGGCAACGGAGAGTTCAAGGGGTGCTCCAACGATTTTGCTGAAAAAAGGTCAGTTCACTTGAAATACTTGGCAGAAAACTTTTCAAGTCTCTAAGAAATGTGCAAAACGAATTTAAAAAATATCACTCTTGGGAGGAATTACGACTAATTTTTAATTAATTACAGCCCCGTTTAAGGCATAAGGTCAAAAGGTGGGGGACCACTGAATGAGTCAACAACAACAGATAAACCTACTGCTGCTCCAATACTTTGTAGTAAACATATGGTTCACTAATTAAATCTGTCACTGCTTTGTTGGCCAAAGAGATTTGAAACATGCCAGAAAAGGTCACACATATATATTGAGTATTTAACGCTTTTTGTTCTGGTGCAACAACCCTCTGGTACACATTTTAAGACTTTCATTTTTAGTCAAAACGTTGCCGTCATTGAAGCAGTTAGGGAACCTTTTATAGTCTTGCTCCGCATTTAAAAGTATTTCAAAAATGTCTCCTGAAGGTTGCATAAAATGTTAACAACAGTGGAAACCCTTGGGAGGAAACACCAAACCCGGTCTCTTGAATAACATATAAAGCCCAAGAACAATGGAGGACTTTCATCCGGAGAGAAGAGAAGTTTAGAGAACAAAACACACAACAGTTTGAGATTCACATGCGTCTGTCCTTCTAGTCCGCCATAACCAGCCACAGCTTTTGTTCAACCATCCATCTGGTTCTTCCCTCTCACCTATACTGTACATTCACTCCATTCCCCCTCATCTCTTTCATCAAGGTTTCTTCACTATCAAAGTAATCCAGTGATAATTGTCTATGTACCCAATCCATGGGTAAAAGAAAAGAGGAACTGAAAATCGCTGATTTGGCATTATTTTAATGGTGCAAAATAATAAATGTTGCTGTCAGACAGACAGACGGGTCCAAGATGCTGCGATTCAAGTTTTTAGTTATAGTGACAACAAAAAAAATCACAGACACACACACCAGCTTAATATACCTGATGATGATGACAGAGACTTCTCTCTCAGCAGCCCTGAGACGGTTGCCATGGCAGCCGCTCCATTGATCTGACTGTCTGAGTGCAACATCCGGACCCTGCAGCCTCCGATCCCGACGTCCTCCGAGCCCTGGACCAGGAGGAGGTAGCGAGCACTCTCACCTTTCAGCTCTACGTCAGGCACTGCAGGGTACCCACAGAAAGAGAGCGATTACATCCAGAGTTAACCCACGACTGAGCAGGGAATTTACTTCAACGTGTTTTACAAACTTGTTGTATTACGGTTATTTATTGCTTTAATGCCTGCTGCACTCTCCATATGATCTTTAAATCCTAATTTGTCCTATAGCTGGTAATAATTAAATTTATTTATAAATATTTTATCCATACAATTCTCATTAAAAGGTCCAGTGTGTAGGATTTAGGGGTATTTATTGGCAGAAAAGACTCGTGTTTTCGTTACCTTAGACTGAGCCCCCCCCCCCCACATCTACGCAGGGAGCGGGTCCTCTTCACAGAGACGGCCATGTTGCACCGCCATGTTTCTACGGTAGCCCAGAGCGGACAACCAAAAACCACTGGGTCTAGAGAGTGCCTTTTGCGTTTTTTTAACTGACCTGAAGGCCACCGTAGATTCTCTACACGCTGAGCGAGGTGAGGGTATTCAGTTGGTTGCATTCTGCAACGTCACCACTAGATGCAAATAAATGCCTACACACTGGACTTCTCAGGTATCTTACTCTAAAAACTGTTGATCAAGCGTTTTTGTATATCCCTGCTGTCCAATTCTTAAAATTCATTGTTTACCATTTGCTACAGCAATCCAAATTCCTCAAGGGTATGCTATACCAGTAAATATTGTCTTGTGAATTTTGTCTCTGAATTTTCCTGTGGTGCTTTCCAAATTGATTCAGTCCTACTTCCAAGTGTTTTATTATCTATATCCGTATATTCCTAGTTAGCAATTTATTTCCCCACAGAAGGTGATATGGCTCCTCTCTGTTGTTGCCAGACAGTCATCCATTTAACAAGGCAATGAAAAGGACATGAAAAAAACAAAAAACGTCTTACAGTCAGGTAAGGACTTTGGTCTCCTGGCTACAGACTCTCTCCAGCGCTGCGAGCTGAGCTGGCTGGCTGCGTGCTGAGCAATGGGGGTGATTATACAGGACATGCTGAACAACGCTCCGACCTAGACGTAGAAACATAGATAAACATACACACTCACTCAGTCCCACAAATCAAATAGAAGGTGCATGTTCTAGGCATTTTCTACTGTATGTCCCATCTACATGTACACACATTTGACTGGGGAAAACTTCATTAGAGAAGTTATATGACTGACTTTTTCAGTATTTGTACATATAGAGGCAGACTTTAGGGGGCGATACCTTTCCACACAGCGACTTCAACTGGTCCAACAGAAGTTTAGCTTTCATCGACTTCCCAGACGCGCTTCTGTTTGCTGGTGGTGAAGGAACAATACAATATCGATACCAACCTGGATAAGACTGGATAATCCTTAGACGGCTGCAGTAAAAACACAAGAAGCTGCATTTTGTGACCTGTATTCAATCGGGTAATCTCAAGTGCATCAAAATCTATATGCCAGGAAAAATAATGAAGGTTGTTTTATTATTTTGTCACTCAAAGTTTGCATCTAGAAAAGTGGGTTCAGCTAAAAGTGGATTGATGAAGACATAAAGATACTTTGTTTTTGAAGACACCCCCCCCCCCCCCACCCACACACCCGGCACCAACACAAAGATACCCTTGAGAGTACCCGATTG